GTTTTTTTCTTTTTCTTTCTTTTATTAAAAAAAAAAAAAAGATTGGTCATGTTACGTTCATGTGTTAATAATTGCTCATGATCTCTGTTTCCTTTATGGCAAACCAAACCCCTGAAAACCTGGAACCCCAAGACCACATGAAGATTTGACAATTCAGTAAGGCTATATGACATCACAAAGACATTTAAAAGATTAATTGCAGGGTAAGGCTCCAGAATTCGGGTTCAACCTCTACATCTTCAAGTCCTATTTGTAGCAGTTGGCAGTCTTCTTTACTTCTCTTTCTAAGCCTCAATCTTATTTTCTTTGTGTTGTTGTTGTTGTTAAGTGCCATCGAGTTGTTTCTGACTCATATTTTCTTTAGGATGGAATAATAAGAAGTTGATTGGGAAATATAAAGTAAGATAAAGCTTTTAACCAGTTCTTGGACCAGAGGAAGTCTTCAGTAAATATTATTTGTTATCTTTATCATTAAAAATACATATTCTTGGACATTTTACAAATAACAATAATTAATAAAATATGATTTTTTTTCATTAAAACTCTGAGCCCCAACCCACCTGCCCACAGACTATGCTCCAGCCATGTACAACTGCTTATTATTTCCTACACATTGTCTTGTACAACTCCTTCTGTCTCATAGCAAACTACCACTCACCTTAAACCAAACTAAACTAAACCCATTGCCATCAAGTTGATTCCAAATCATAATGACACTATAGAACAGAGTAGAACTGCCCCATAGAGTTTCCAAGCCTGTGAATCTTTACAGAAGCAGACTGCCTCATCTTTCTCCCACAGAGCAGCTTTGTGGGTTCGAACTGCCAGCCTTTTGGTTAGCAGCCTAACACTTTAATCACAGCACCACCAGAGCTCCTTACTCACTTTAAATGCCCAGATAAAATCTTACTAATATTCTGAAGACATTCCAAACTCTTTCTTTTTCAAATAGAATAAACCAAAACTAAACCAATCTCACTGCTTTTGAGTCAATTCAACTCATAGCGACCCCTTCTCAGGTTTCCAAAGTGGTATGTCTATGAAAGTAGATTGCCCAACCTTCCTTCCGAGGAGTGGCTGGTAGGTTTGAACCACCAACCTTATGGTTAGCAGTCAAATACCTTAGGCACTACGCCACCAGAGCTCCATTCAAATAGAATACATTCTATAAATTGCAACTTTCTCCCTGTTCCAATGGCATATCTCTTAAACCTGTATTTTAGAGTTTATCACATTATTTCACAGTTGTCTGTCTGTCCCACTAGACACTGAGCTCCTTAAGAGCAGGGATCATGGAACCCCAGTACCCAGCACATAGCCTACCTGGCACATACTGTGTGCTCACTACATGTCTAGGGTGGAAGGAAGGAAGGAAGAAGGGAAGGAGAGAAAGCACAGTCTATGGTTTCACCATGACAACATAGCTAATAAAAACAAAAATAAAAAAGAGTTGATAATAAAATCCCAGATATAGAAAGTCAGTCATGAAATCTGATTTTCAAAAATCATTAATCTTTGTCTTCCTCATTTCCATTTATTCTTTCCTTTCTTCCTCAATTCTGTTTCATTCCCTCCAAGTTCACATTTACTCTCTATAGGTCTAAATACACCGTCCATCAGAATCTAACTTAATTAGTAGTCACCTTCTTATAATGCTGAGAGATTTCCTGCCATTATGAGAAAAACACTGAACTAAGACTTGCATCTAATGAATTCTAGGTCATTAATTCTCTCCACAAATATTTATTGAGCACCTGCTATATGCCAGGTATTGTTCTAAGGGCTTCACTATATTCATTATATGTATATCCTTTGCCTTCATGAAACTTACATTCCAGTAGAGTGAAAGTCAGAAGGAAGATGGGGCAATCTACTTCCATAATGATACTGCCTCAGAAACCCAAGGAGGGATCACTATGAGTCAGGTCCAACTAGAGGGCACATCACAACAACAACAACAGTAGAGTAAAAGAGGGACAGATAATAAACAATAAACATGATAAATAAATACGTGGTAAGGTAAGAATCACAAATGCCAACTTGAGAGAAGGTATATACATTACATTTTCAAATAGGAATGTCATAGTTGGCATCACTGAGATTTGAGCAAAGAAGGTGAGGGAGTTACCTAATCAAGGTGTTTTTTATAATGAAGGAACTGAGAGGGAATGTGTCTGGCATGTGTGAGGAACAACAAAAAGACCTATGTGGTCAGAGGAGAGTGAGTGAAGGGAAAAGTAGTAGGAAAAAAAATCTGAGAGGTTAATAGGGGCCACATGATACAGAGCCTCATAAGCTGTCATCACCAAATCTTTGACTTTTATTCTAAGTAAGATGAGCACCCATTGCACACTTTGTTTTAAGCACAGGATTGGCATGATTTGACTTGAAGTTTTTAGCTGTGGCTTTAAAAATGGATATAGGGAGAAAGGTTAGAAGCTGGAGGACAGGTCAAGAGGCCACTATAATGATCTTGGTGATCCAAAGTGAGGTGGTGTCAAAGGAGGGGAGCAGAAGTTCTGGATTTTTTTTTCTTTTTGGTAAACCCAATAGGAATTCCAGACAGATTAGGATGTGAGAGAAAGACAAGAATCAAAGAAGACTTTAAGAGTTTACCCTGAATGAATAGGAAAGGACGCAGGGAAAAGGTAACCACAGGGAGGAAGTAGTAAGAGAGCTGTTACATTATAGGGATCACAATCAATGCCATGAAACAAAACATGTATGAACATTTGGAAATGAATTTGCACTGTAAACTTTCACCCAAATTGCAATTTAAAAAAAGAGTTTATCTTGAATCATTAGAAGAAGGGAGTTTCCATCAATTGAGATGTAAGTCTATAGTTCGAGCATATTTTGGGGGATACATTGGGAGTTCCATTTTGGAATTGTTGAGATTGAAATGCCTATTAGATGTCCAAGGGGAGATGTTAAATAGACAGTGTTGTGGATTGAATTTTGTCCCCTCAAAATATGTGTTGTAAATCCTAACCCACAATCTGTGGTTATAACCCCATTAGGAAATGTTTTTTGTTATAGTAATGAAGCAATATTAGCATAGGATGTGTCTTAAGTCAATCTCTTTTGAGATATAAAACAGCAGATTAAACAAGCAAGCAAGCACAAATGGAGGGGAAAGATACATGCCAAGTGGTGGCCAAGGAACCAAGCGATAGAAGCTGGAAAGAAACAAGTGGACAGAGAGAGCACCCTAGAGCCGGTGCCCTGAATTCATGCTTTTAGCCTCTTAAACTGTGGGAAAATAAACTTCTGTTTGTTAAAGCTGCCCAGTTGTGGTATTTCTGTTATAGCAGAACTTGGTAACTAAGACAGATAGTTGGATATAAGAGCCTTGAATTTTGGGGAGATGTCAGGGCTGGAGATTTAAATTTGGAGTCATTAGTAAATAGGTTTTTAAAATCATGAGACTGATCAAATTCCATGTATTACCTCACTAAAATTACCTGTTTAACCTTAACCTAATTATCTAATCTCTCTGCTTCTCAATTTAGGCTAAATCAGTGATTTTTACACTGTATATTATATATTGCAATATATTTACAATATATTTACAATATTGTAAATATTGTATTTACATTGTATATTGCTAAAAGATACAATATCTTTTGGAATATAGGTTGTTAACTATGAGTCAGAATCTACTCAATGGCAGTGGGTTTGGTTTGATTTTTGGTATCCTTTGGAACACTAGTAGATGAGGTTGCTGGAATGAGAGGTATGTTTGTTCCCCCAATACCTAAGCCAACAAGTACTTATATTTCTACAATGAAAAGAGATATATTTAGAAATGATACAAACTGGATTTATGATCAGTGTTCCTTAGTGGAGTAGCATGTGGGAGAGAGGAGGAACTTTCCAGGTAAAATAATGAATTGTTGTTGTTGTTGGGTGCCATCAAGTCAGTTCTGACTCATGTGACACTATACAATGGAACAAAACACTGTCCACTCCTGTGCCACCCTCACAATCATTGCCGTGCGTGAGCCCATTGTCACAGCCACTGGGTCAATCCAGTTGAGGATCTTCCCTTTTTTGCTTATCCTCTATTTTACCAAGCACGATATCCTTCTCCAGGGCTTGGTCTCTTCTGAAAATATGACCAAAGTAGAGAAATGAAGTTTGCCCATTCTCACTTCTAAGAAGCATTCCTGCTGTACTTTGTCCGAGACAGTTTTGTTCATTCATTACAAAAGGATCCCATATATCTGCTTCATTACTGGTCAACTATTAAAGAGATGTGTGTAAGTGAAGGTACAGATTAGCAATATACACAGGTATGTAGAAAATGCTTGCCCCACTCAACATATGCTCAAGGTTTTCTCTCTGAAACATACTGACCTGAAAATCAAATTCAAACACTCTAAGATGATATGGCATTTCTTTTAGACTCGATTCATAATTGTAGTCTAGTTGAGTATTCAGAATTTCCTTTAGCCCTAAGACCATGAACAATTGCTAACATACCTTAACTGTATAAAAATGCATAAAGTTAATGCTACAAGAGATCCTTAGAAATATTCAGTCAATTACCCTCTCTTTACAGTGAAGTAACTAAGGCCTAAAAGTTCATGCTGAAACTTGAACCTAGGTTGCCTCCTCATTGCTAAAACAGTTCTATTTTCACCATAGTAAGCTGATTTCAGGAGATCCTTGGTGGTGCAAATGGTTACGTGCTTGACTACTAGTTGAAAAGTTATCTGTTCAAACCCATGCAGAGGTGCCTAGCAAGACAGGCCTGGTTATCTGCTTCTGAAAGGTGTGTCTTGAAAACCCTTTGGAGCAGTTGTAATCTGACACATACAGGGACACCAAGAGTCAGAATCAATAATAGTTGACTAACAACAACATTGCTGATTTTAAAGGTGCTTCAGAAATGCCACTTAAATGTGCAATTCAGGAAGAAATCAGCACTGATGTATGAACTTCATCTTTTCCTAATGCATTAATTTTACACTAATACTTTTCCTGTTTCCCCACAGTTCTAAAGGTTGTACTTGCCATTACCTTTTGCCTTGTGGCTGGTGTCCTAATGCTGCTGCTGTTTACCCTCATCCGCCATGGACCCTGCTGGAAGAGAGAATACTCTCGGGACTTCTGAACAGATGTGTGAATAAGGATAGACAAGACGGGCAGGCCTCTCATGACACATCATCTCTCTGTGATGCAACATTCAAAGGAAAGTCTTTCACCATGAGGAATCACCCAGTCCACTTCCTTCCTTTTGAGCCTCTTTAAGCAGAGACTGGACTCACAGCAACCCAGGGACAGCAGCTGAACTGACAGAGGCACACCCATGTTACTTAATATGTCTCCTCACTGGGCTAGAAAGAGGCTCTTCTCCAAGATATAGTTGTAGTCTTTGACACAGATGTCCGGAAAGAAATAAGAAGCCAAATTCCAATCAGCCTTTTTCCTGCAAAGAGTAAAGGGTTGCAAGATGAGACAGAAAAAAATTAAAGAAGACTGGTTAATGGGGAAACTTAGACTAGAAGTACTGTTACACAGAATGTTTTTTAGAAATAAGGCCCACTCAGAAGTCATAAATAAACTTTTTCTTTAGCTATTAAGTAGCTTTCATACACACACACACACACACACACACACATCAAAAGAAACCTCTACCCAGTATTTGATAACTAGCAGACTTCTGTATACTAACACACATACACATACATACACATCTATATTTAAAATACCTTATGAGTAGGTATTTTAGTATCTCAGAGAGACATTATCTCAGAAACTGTAACATCAACCACTTTAGCTATGGCTCTGGTCATTTAAGCTTAAACATTGATTTTGTAATCTAAAAGTGAAAACTATGGACTAGATTTAAAAAAACCTTTTCTAGTTGTCATGTTCTGTAAACAAATATATAAAAATTTTATGCTACAAATTGATCATTCCCCAAGCAAGCACATTCATGGATAGTACCATGGTAGGAAGTTTGAAATTTACTCTATTTTATTCTGCTCTGAACCCCAGATCATCCAGTTGGTGAGAGCTTCAATCTCATCCATTGGTAGGATTCTCTACCTCCCCAGGTTCTGGGGAGGATCCCAGTTTGTACCTGATAGAAGCAGTCAGAATAGAATCCTCTAGGCTTGTGTCCACACTGGTCTCCAGTAAGCTCACTGTCCATGCCTACATAGTCTTCTGAAGGTAGGCAGGTCTGCCACATCTGTACCATAGCTCCCAAGGACACAGTCTTAGAGTTCACCAGCCTGGCACTGTATCTAGCAGTCTTCTACCTGGAATGATGTTTACAAGCAGAGGTGGGATCTTTGCCCTTCATGGAAGCCCTCCAGAGTCCCACCTCATCTCTTAGTCTCAGGAAACTTCCTCTCCCCTCACATCTTGCAGCTTTCACCTCTTAAACTCAAATCATCTACCTCTCTCATTGTACCTCTTTCTATATAATTCTCTTCATTGAGCTAAGGTTATTGCAAAAAACAAAAACAAACAAACAAACAAAAAAAAAAAACCCTGAGAGGTTGTCTTCTCTTGCATGGCAACTTCTGCTTCCTGCTGCAACACAAGAGCCCTCTAGGCAACAAGATGAGGCTATATTTTTGGCTTGAGAAAGGAAAACCTTAGACAGAAGCAAGAACAAAGGACGGATGACTATTTCAATAAAGTAGCCAGCCTTATCTGTGATTAGTCTCCCCCATCTTATGCTAATGAGGATTAGACTCTAAAATGGAAAGGTAGAACCACAATTCATGGAGTTTCTCACTCATTCAACATTGACAGAAACCCTCCTATTTGCTAATCACTGGCCTAGATACAAAATTGTTCATCTGCATTGTGGCTATTAAGGTGTTTGACTCCAACAACAACTTTATACTATGTTTTAATACTGCCAGTGTTCAAGAAGAATTCTACTTTGTAATGTTCTTTAAGGACTCTTCTTTCAATCATCTCTTTTGACTATTGTAAAGAAAGTTCTCACTCTCAACTTAGCTGTTTCTTTTACATCATCCTCAGGGCTAGTCTGTTGGGAAATACTGTAATTGGTTTTCAAACTTCATGGCAGAATGAAAAATCTCAATTTGCAAATTATCTCTGGTGATGCATCAGAGAACACAAATATGCAGTAATGTTTATCAGGGAGTAAGTTAACCATCCAGCTTCAACAAGAGACGATGCAAAGTCTCTACTGATCAAAGAGACTTTTTCAGATGTTCAGAGACGATCAGTCCAATTACCATAATCATAAATATTTTCTGAAAGACAGTCACTAGGGCTAGTTCTGAAGTGTAGTCACTGCATTTGAACCACCACAGAGGCCTTTGAATAGTATCATAATAAAAGCAATACATAATTATTACCACAAATCATGTTTAAGATGTTTCCTGAAGTATATATATATATATGCAATATACATTTGAGAAAGTACTAAGAGTTGTAGGTAGAACATCCCTATCTTAAAACAATGGCATTGTTTTAAGAGAGTATTACAAGGATACAATTATAAAAAGAATAATTTGTTGCTTTTGGGGCATTAGAAGAGTGAAAGCTTTAGAAACAAGCATTTTACCAGAAGTTATTTAGCCAACAAACCTGTTTTATGTGAGAACTGACATTTTTTCCCCCTCAAATTCCGTAAAGACCACTATTCTTCTGATTATCTGTTCTCTTTCTATCTTGTTCTAATGTTGTTAGTATTGATTTTTTTTTTCTTTGTAGCCAGGGGAATTTCCTGGTAAGTAAAAGGCAAAATTTTACTGCATTCTCTTTCAGAACTCTTTATAAATGCCATCTGAGCAATAAATGCATGTGTGCTACTTTAGAACCAAAACCAAAAGACAAACTCAATGTCATCGAGTTGATTCTGACTCATAGTGACCCCTCTTTGGGTTTCTGAGGTGGTATCACTATGGCAGTAGATTGCCCAATCTTCCTTCCTAGGAGTGGCTGGTGGGTTTGAACCACCAGCCTTCTGGTTAGCAGTCAAATGCCTTAGGCACTATGCCACCAGAGGGCTGTCTAATAGAAAT